ACGTTATGGAGGCGGTGCAGCAATAATCAAATAGAGAGGATATATATATATATATATATATGGTAGGGCTTGAGCTACCTAAGATTATCGTTTGGCATTTAGGCGGGTTCACGTTTATGCCATACACAGTAGACCATTCTGAGATATATTTCAAATCATCATTTAACAGTGAGATAGCACTTAGGAAATTTGAAGGTTCCACTTGAGCATATAACTGTAGATATTCAGCATACAAATGGTAAGAGCTCTTGAGATTTAGTGTGATGATATTTATAAAAATGGAAAACAGAAGAGGAGAGATAATACCGCCTTGAGGGACGCCAATTGACACATCACGCCAGTCAGATAGTATATGATCAGTACGCACAGCCTGTTGGCGCCCTCGAAGATATGTTGAGAACCATTCCTGAGCTGAAGACGAGATATTCAAACGAGAAAGAAGAGCTAACAAGATATCGTGATCGACAGAATTAAATGCATTAGAAAAATCAATTAAGATGAGAACGGTCAGTTTTGATTTTTCCATCCTCTCACGAATATCTTCCGTAACTTTGAGAAGAGCAGTAGTTGTAGAATGACCCGGGCGGAAACCAGACTGATAAGGGGAAAGATTATTCTTTCAGAAAACAAAGGAAGAAATTTGTTATGAGCAACAGCTTCCAGAACCTTAGAAAGAAAAGGCAGGATAGAAATTGGTTCAACCAAGATAAATTTTTAATTAATGGTGTTGAAATGAGTGTTAAATTGGTTCGATCAAGAGAGAGTTTTAATTTAATTGCTGGGTCAAACGATGTAAAGTTTAAAGTTTGAATTACGGATGCAACTCTTATTGTTCGACGAGCACGAATTAATCCAAGTGTTTTACTCGCACATCAAAAAGTTTTAGCTTCTACCACTGCTAAATATCCTATTACTCGAGCTGAAGTAAAAGTTTTAACAATTCCATCGGGTGTTCAAGAAAAACTCTTGATAATATATTTTTAGAACAGGTATCCAAACGATGTATAATTGGATTTGTGAACAATTCTGCATTTAATGGTTCCCTTACTAAAAATGCATTTAACTTTGAAAACTATGGTATTAATTCTTTCAGCTTATATATTGATGGTCAACAAATACCTTCAAAAGATTTATAACCTCTTCTAATAATAGTATATTTACATCAGCATATCATACTTTATTCTCGGGAACTTGTATTCACTTTCTTAATGAAGGAAATGGAATCTCTTGTGAACAGTATGACAAAGGTCCTTTGGCATACTGTTCACAAGAGATTCCATCTAGTACGTGCACTGTCTATTAGCATTTGACTTAATTCCTGATTTATCAGCCAACTCATCAGCTCATTGGAATCTCATAAAGCATGGTAGTGTAAGATTAGAAGTACGATTTGAATCCTCACTAATACAAACAATTAAGTGTATAGTTTATGCTGAGTTTGATAATATTATTGCGACAGGTAAAAACAGAAATGTTACTGTAGAATATAGTATTTAAGGTTAAAATATGTGTTGTGTGTTAGATTTTATGTGTAATGCATTTTGTGTGTATGTAACTATGTGAATCGTTATAAAATTAAATAAAACAAATTGTATGCAATATATTATTTTTTATTTCTTTATAAATCTTCTATTTAATCTAATACGAAACACTGTTCGAGTTTAAAGTTACATCGGACTCTCTCATTAGATCATCAATAATAACAAGATGTGGGTTTTCACCATCAAACATATTAAGATTTGGAATTCCTTGATGATAGTTAGTTAACATTTGGTAAATTATATAAAGGTTGTATTTCATTAAAGCACCATGTGATCTGATTAAAATTACAATTACATATTTCTGTAACTGATTTTATGAAATTTGTTACAAAATTTGACTTCCCACATCCACTTGGTCTTGCCACAATAGCAGTAAACGGATGTATAAAGTGAAACATTACACACGTCTAAAGTTCTAAGGGGTGAAATAAAAAATGAAAGTGTTGGTGTAAACAATTAATATATATTGTGTACTATAACCAATGTTTTTGGGAAATCAAACAAAATTTATGATTAATTTAAAATTTTATTTTCAAGCAATAACCACTTGTAAAAAACCCACACTTCGTCACAAGAACAATGTAAAATTTTGAGTGTAAGTAAACAGAATCACATTCACTAACGACCAACTAATGACTGTCATTGTTAAAAAAGTATTTTTTAACTTTTTCACTTTCTGTTATTGTCTTTGTATTACAGGGCTAGGAAATGTCCGCCGCGCTGCCTCAATGCGTGTTGGCGAACTTCACATGGCTTCGAAATTTTTTCAGATATGCAGGTTTCCTCACGATGTTTTCTTCACCGCCTAGCACGTGGTAAATCAGCATTTAAAATTGCAATTAAAAATTTAATTGGTGCCGGCGGGGATCGAACACGAGTCGCGTACTGTGAAATTTACAGCTTGCGCTAACCATCTGAGTTACCACGGTTTAATCATATACACACACAATATTTAAATATAATTTGTTAACACTAAATCATACACACGTAAGAAAATAACAGAAAGAAAAGTAAGTTTGTCAATAGAATAAACACATACATCCATGGCCTTTGATGCGTTGAAGTAACACAAATGTAGTATTGATAGATCCAGCGGTCAAACGACCATACATTAACTCCATGACTGCAGCGCCCTGGTTTTATATAGCACCAGTAAGTAATAATTCTAATCTAAAGAATTTCTGCAGTGGAACTAATGACTGTAACTTTATGCGTCAAAAATCTTATCTCACATTCTGTTGCTTATCTCAACATTCCTTCGTGTTGCGTCTCGTTCGATGTATCGATGACTCAAATACGATTGGTATAACACAAAAGAATGCAATTTAATATTTAGAAATCACCATAATTGACCATTTCTATGTTAGTCATTGAGTAGATTGGTACTGTAATAATCTACTAATAGCAGTAATATCATGGATACACTAGATGTACAACAAAATTTGTAAAAGATTCACCCCAGTATAGAAAATAATGTTTATGCTGCTAATAGACTGCCCATGTATACCCACGTACCAACGTATATAATATGCAATTTGGATACAGATGATAAACCAGGGTCACATTGGGTAGCTTTATATATCGATACGAATGACGTCGGTCAATATTTTGATTCATATGGACGATCACCTTTACGATATCATCTAGAGTTTTTAAAAAGGATTTGTAAAAGATGGAACTGGAATGTTAATATTACTGAACTGGAATGTATATTTACAGGGAACACATTGTACAACGATATTTTAGTGGATGAGATGTTTCGCTCCTATTTTATAAATAATAAGTAATAAGATTCTGTATTTTGTAAATAAAAATTGTAACAAAATTAGCTAATGTGTGTAATTAGTTATTGATGATTCAGATTAGCGTTGTATATAGGAACAAAGAAGTATAATACAATAGCACTGATAAGCCGACGCACACGCTGAGGAAGTATAGACAATGACAATAGATAAGAACAATGGCACGCTAATGACGGTGGAGGCCCTCACCGGATATCAATTAGATATTAGTTAATTGATCTGCATATCTCCGGAACCGTGCATCCTACGTAAAAACGGACCGCAGATTCGTGATCAGAGCATGCCAAAACCTTTTTTTTAGGATCGTGAGTCGACGAACGTTGTACCACTTCTAACTTAGTGAGCCAGAATTGGTACAACGTAACTACTATAATTTAGTATAGATAACCTGCTATCCCTTATCTCGTGTATGCCGTGAAAGTCGATAGAACGATACTGAAACAGGAGATGGGCAGCAGCATCTTACTGATAACAGCAGAAAATACTAATAATAATAAAAACTCCGGTTTCCAACCCGTTCACTGGTTGTGTACATTATAGAAAAATACCCTCTATGAGGAAATCTATGGAGGATGCAATTTTTAAAAATAGAATAAATAAATGAATGAATGACATCTATCACAGGTATTAAAGAAAAAGTAAAGGCAGGCCTCCAGTAATTAGCAAAGGCAGGTCTCAGTGTTTTTTTAAACTGGGAAGAGTCCGCCATCTCTTGTATCTTGTTATCTCAATATTTACTGTCGGACTTTACAAGTCATAGAATACTATTATTGTATTATAGTATTCTATGTTACAAGTCCTCGTTAATTTGTCAGATACAAAATATTAAAACCAAGGATCATCTTCGCCACCAGCATTGGATTTTTACCTCTTACACTACCAAGATTCTTACCACCAGATTTACTTGTAGTAAATCAGCACTTGATAATGCAATTAGCTGTGTGGTGTGGGAGTCGTGCTTGCGGGGATCCATCTCAGATTGCCCGCGTACCTTCAAACAAAATTTAAAGCGAGGGCTCCTATATAAATAAGCAGATATGGCTCACTCATTAAATGCTTTTCTGTTCTAAAAATAAGCATTATATTTTGGCAATAACATCCATTGATGATTGCATGCATATTGTGACCTTCCTTTTGAGTTTAGGGGGAGGTCAATGTTTATCAGTAGTTAGACTCTCATAAATCTTATATGAAGTAACTATCTTGTCTTTTTTAACTGGGCCTAGTGATAGTAAGATCGACTGCTGATCATGTGGTACCAGGTTTAAATCCCGGGTTGGGCCAAAATCAGTTATTGGTTTTTTCTGTCAAAAAATTCTTAGTAGCATTCCGAAGTCAGGAAGCTAACGGTGTTTAACCCTAGTGCCGTAATCTTTTTCTGCGCAGATGGATCGTCTCCGTCGAGACTGGCCGCGATGACCAGAAGGAGATATGATTATTATTATTATTGCAGGAGGTTTATCTCCAGCAGTTAATATAGGGTAGTCACTCATTCTATATAATCTATTCGCGCCCGATGTTATTTTTATTATGTAAAATCCGTGAAGACTAGGACATGTCTGTCAGAGACACGAGGCCGAAAACCATTGTAACTGTAGTTTTTACACAAATGTTAGTTTAAGCTAGGTTTCGAATCTAAAATAAATAATTTAATTACCTTATTTGTTTCGATGTTTTTCTTTTCAACGGTAGCCTGAAATTGTTAGAATACCATTAGGAAAATATTATTTTGGCAGATTTATATAATGGGCTTCATTTTAAACATGCTGAGTACAGCTGCTCACATTGATGTTTTGTGAAGCCTAGTCATTGTATTTTAATAATATAAATTTAAAATAATATTTTAGAAGATCACAAACAATACAACGCAAATTATATACTTCGTTAGGCACTTTGGGCACTTTTGAGATGGGGAAAAAGCACTAAACTCGCGTGACCGTCACGCTCAGATATATAACATCGACTAAAGTAATGTTAAAATTTTATAAAATTGATATATTATTTGTAAGTTTGTATTATATCGATAATAACCATTCTTTTTCATGTAAAACATCTCAATAAATAAAAATTTTTGGGTAAGGTTTACAATTAAGTCGCCTGAATTAGGGGGTGGGGGGTGTTGTGGGGGAGGGGGGAGGAGTTGTAGAGTCATCCCCTACTTTCTCCCCCTGCCGGACGTGTTTAGTTTAGTTTCTTTTTATATATTTTTAAAAATCTCATTTTTAGGTTATGTTTCGTAATTTTTATCACAATTTTAACCTGATTTATGGAGAGAGAGAGAGTTGGGGGACGGAAACCCCACGCCCCTCAACGTATGCAGTCGAGAGAAGCCCGGTCGACGGAGCAGAGCAGGGGTTCCTACTTCTGCGTGGTTTAAAAAAATAACCCCGAAGGGGATGGCGGGGTCTATTCGCTCGCTTACTCGACCCCCCCCATATTCATCCATAGTCATCCCCTTCTAACCTAACCTATCCGACTCGGGGTGCCCCATGTCCCAGGCTCGTTTCGCTCGCTATTGCACTCAATATAACACCGAAATATTGACTTTTATAACTACTTTAATTTATAAAAATAATTTATAGCTGCCATCATTTGTAAGAAAGGATCTTTGCGATATTTAGCAGTATTCCGCTGCCACAAATATTCCACTATTCACCAAAATTCTGAGACTCGGAAGAAACGGAATGACGTAAAATATGTCTGTCACTGTCAACAAAATGGCCGGCCTTGCATCGAACTATTATCGAATCGAACGCTAGTAATTAGCGTATAGAACAGACACCCCGAACCAAAAGTTTGCTTCATTTTGGTAAGAGTTAGAACTAAAGTTCGCTGCAGCGCTAAAATAATAGTTACGTCGTCTAACCAAACTATTACAACATGCAGCGCTAGTTTGCATTAGGGATTAGTTTTCTCGCAACCAAAGCTCCTGCAGCAAAAATCGCGTTCAGATAAACCCCCTTGACCTCCCCACCGTGACAGAATCCTCAAATTCAGGCGACCTAATTGTAAACCCAACCCAAATTTTATTTCTACATTAGTACTTTGATAAAAATAATGTGTAATAAAAATACTAAAAATATTTTTAAAAACCCAAAAATAATGTTTACAAGTTTGTGAAGCTAAGAAGTTTTCACTTCTGACGTGCAGTCCTAAGACTAAAACTAAGACTAAGACTAATACTATTTAATACTATTTTTTGAATTGGGGTAGTTTATACGTAGGGGTGAATCAAACTACAATATTTACCATCCCAATTTTTGCGGAGAATTTCGTCTATTAATAGTGGAATACAGTCTTTTCAATCCACGACCTGTCAAGTTATATTTTAAGAGAATTAAAACTACGAGTAATTTAACATTAGACTAAGCAGTTTTAAATAAGGATCGGTATAAAGATATTTTAGTTATTTAAATATATTACAGGATTATTTTGCAATATAGGCCCAATTTTTCAGAGAATAGGTAATATAGGCGAATGGTAAAGAAAAAAAATTAAAAAAAATCTCAAATATTCTGTCTGTTTTTTACTTTAAATTCAGAATACATGGTAATGCATTATTTTTATTTTAAAAACTTTGGATACTCTTTGAAAAATAACCCTGTATATTGAGTTAGATATATACTTACGATGATGTTCGGCTATTTCTTCGTGGAATAACATATTTATTATTTTCAATATGTTTCTGGAAATTTTCAAAAAAATTAAAATTAATGTTTATCTTATTTATGAATGTTCATCAGACTATCGTTAGATGTTCAGATAAATATCTGAGCCCATGTCGTAGAAAATCTATTAAAATACTATAAGACAGAATTCCGCTGGCTTGAGTTTGGCGCGTAACCAATTATCCATCGATGGAGTCACGCCACTTAAGATGTAGATCGGGCGCTAAAGGCGGTCGAGAAAAGCGGGCCGATTTACGAAAACAATTGATTGATGACGGTAGTTCTCAAAATAAAATAATAAAGTGATGATTTTATAACTGTCGATAATAAAAGTTTGCTTACTGAACAAGTTTGTTTCATTTAGTAACGTTTTATATGTAATAATCAAGACCCAATTTCGATAAGAGATTTTTAGTGTGATTTTTTTTCATAAAATTATATTTCAAAAAGTAAAGCGATGACCACTTCTTTTTATGAATGCAAAATATAGTTGGATTTTTTAATTATTTTTATTTTTAATATATGTAGATAGGTGTGGGCAGTACAGTACCCAAACTCAATTGACGCCGTTTATCGTTGGGTACTGTAGTACCCAAACTCTAGTTACTTTACATACTGCAAATAATGATAAATTAAAAACAATTCGAAATTTAATACCAATGTTTTATTAAGTTTAATTTAATACCAATGTTTTATAAAAAATAGCCTATTAAAGGGACTAACTTATCATTTTAAAGACATAAATTTCATAGTACTCACTTATCAACCTCTTCAACGGACATCAATCTGCTCACGAGAGAGCTTCGCCTCAGAATATTTCTCTTGACTGTAATTTTAGAAACATATATGTAAATATTTTTTGTAACATTGAAATTTTTGTCTAGAATTTCGTCTTTTCATTTAACTTTTTGTCTAGGATTCCATCTTGGTAGGAAGGAACCTGCTGCGTTCTGATCTGAAGGTTATAATAGAGAGGCTTACAGGCTTTGAGGTATTTCATTGGACGATGTAACCTGTAGCCTTTTTGCTCGAAGCTGGCTGCAAGTACGTAAAGGTTATGCAATCAGGTGGATTGTAAGTTGTCACTTCAGTTTTCTAAAATAAAAAATAAAAAACTACAAAAGCTGTATAACATACAAAATACTCACAGCTTTTAAAAGGCAGCTTCACCATGCTCTTTATTCTTCTATCCATCCAATGCCTAAAGAAATTAATTTATTAAATAAACAATAATAACACTAAATTATCCAAGTCGCAAAATTCAAAAAGCTTACCGAAAACTTCATTAATAATCCATAAAAGGCAAGTTCTAAATGTGCGTGTGTGTGTGAAGGTGCACGCCTGTGTGTGTACGAGTGCGTATGCGTCGCGTGTGCTTGGGCGAGAGCGTGAGGGTGCGCGTGCGTAGTAATGCTTTTCTAATCTTGCAAAACTTTATCCTTGGATGTTTTATTCAAATACGTTCAAATGGCTAAGAGTAATACATATACATATAGAAAATCGGGAATACACAGAGTTATTTTGCAATAACCGGCCAAATTTGCAGGGAAGGCTTAGAATAAATAATATAGGCAAATGGTGAAGGAAAATTATATTTAAAAATATCTCAAACATTCTGTACTTGTTATCTTTTAAATTCAGAATGCGTGGTAACGCATTATACTACGCAGGCACGCACAGGTAAGGGTCACATTAGGCAAAAACGTTGTTGCCCATAAATCTTATTGAATTTGGGATAATTTCAAATAAAATTAGAAGCCTTATTTAATTGGTATTACCAAAAACTGCAATAACGGTATATTATTAATTATATATTTGAACTTAAGTTTAAAATTTGGGTACTCTTTGAAAAATAACCCTCTATAATTAAATTGAACGCGATAAAATCTTCAAACAAAGATTTAAATAGTTAGATACGCCTTTACCATAGTATGACCACTCCGAAATGTGTCCATTCTCAAATGAGTGAGCTCACTCATTCGCAATCAGTGCTCATTTGTGCGACAGAGAAAGTAGTATACTTAATTTCTGTAAGATAATAAGAGATGATACTATTGCATTAGTGTGCGCGCGTCAGCGTCTTGCTAACGAATACATCCAAAAACAATGCCACAGTTTTCGACATGAAGGCGCATCTAACTATTTAAATCTTTGCTTCAAATATGTTCCAAACAATGTATTAATTCTCATATCAACTCATTCTAAGAAATAATTATAGAAATTTTTTATCATGGAAAAGAATTGATGAAAACTACTTTTAATTAAAAAAAATTTAAACGCGATAAAATCCGTAAAAGTAGTTTTAATCAATGTGTACTGTTCGCGTAAACATTAGATATGGAAAAGGATATTAGGGTACTTTTTATAACTGTACGAATTTTGGGATAAAAATAATTACTTACTTTTTCTGCGACGACGATAAAGTAGAGTAAGCGGTCTCCGTCCATGTCTTATTTCCGTCACCGGAAGTATCTGTGATAAATGTTTTTTAATATTTTTTTTTGTTAAAATTTTTTTTTTTTTATAGAATAGGGTGACAAACGAGCACACAGTCCACCTGATGCTAAGTGGTTGCTGCGGCCCATAGATATCTACATCTATCCTCTATTAAAAATCAAAATGCAGATGCGTTGTCACCCGTGAGGACTGAGATGGAATGCCTCGTTTCCAGTAAAAAAGGGTCTCCGGTTCTCTATACTCACCATACGAAATACAGCAGCATTAAGCTACTATTTCACGCTGGTATTCTGTGAGAGCGTGGTCCTTCCCCGGTCGAGCCGACCCATTCGTGCTACAATCTCAATATAGTTGCATCGTGGCTCTACCACGTTTAAGTCTTCCAGTGATTCAACCATAACGTCTCATTAACTACATGTACTGCCCGTATCTGCTACAACACGTAGCCCTCTTTCAAAGTTAGCCTCATATATTAGGATACTTGTAGTAGTTGACACGCTTGGCAGACGGGTTGGCAACCGCAGTTGTTATCAGGAGAATACTGTGGATCTCCTGTCTCAGCTTCCCTCTGCCGCCTGTCACAACACGCACGGGATATCTTAGGGTAGAGGACTAGTGGATCCTCTTACGTCGCCACTATACATCCAATAATATCAATTTATAGAATAATGATGTTATTTTTTACAATTAATTTTGTTACTGTTTATAAAATTAAGAAACTGTCAAGTATATACCTGAGTCAAGTATGAATTTGTTTGAGACCGGCGTCTTCGTTAGGCTAGGTCTGAAAAAATTTAAACCATTTATCATTTTTAATTTTTTTAAATGCTTTAATATTGTTAGAGGATCATCATTATCATCATTATTACAGCACATCACAACTCCACGGGTGGTCATAGGCCTCCCCCACAGATTGCCAAGGTACGATCGTGAACTACCCGCATCTATCGAACCTCTACATGTTTCATCTGGGCGTCATTCCATCACCAGTCACCTAACACTACGCTTGCGAGAACTTCTTTTCCTGTTGAATACAGCTAATTTTACCGATTTTATCTCTTTTAATTTAACTTATTTTTAATTCTGGACGTTTTAGGAGCTTTACAGCACCCACGGTCATAGGGTCAAATGATCATGCTGTAAAGCCCTTCAAATGCCAGGAATTAAAAATACCTAGGCTGCACTAAAAGTATCGGGAATGGAATATTTCCACTGTTCCTGTCATATTAAAATCTTTTTAATTGAAAACTCCTTGGTTTTAAAAATCAAATACCATTTATTTATTTAAAAAAAAAAAAGATTCTCGGTCTTGTCACAAGGTTTGTTAAACTTGTTTAGTCGTTGAGAAAATGGAATTGACTCGAGAAAATTCAAGAGCGATGATTTATTATGGCTTTCGAAGTGGTTTAACACAAAAACAGTGTGTTGACCGGATGATTTCTGCATTTGGTGATGAAGCCCCATCCAAAACCACAATTTATCGCTGGTTTGCTGAATTTCAAGGTGGACGTGTCAAGCTCAGTGATGATCCCCGTCAAGGTCGTCGAAAAACCCATGAAACCGTTGATGCTGTGCGTAAGCTGATTGAGGAAGATCGACATGTGACATACCGCAAAATTCAGGCAACTTTAGACATCGGCGTGAGTCAAATACAAATAATCTTGCATGAACAATTAGGTGTTAAAAAGTTGTTTTCCCGATGGATACCGTATTCGCTCTGTGAAGAGCAAAAAGCGGCTCGCGTTACTTGGCGCGTCAGAACTCTCGAAAGATTCCACGCAGGATCCTCAAATGCTGTATACAACATCGTATCAGGTGACGAATCCTGGATATACGCGTACGAACCCGAAACAAAAAACCAATCACGAGTTTGGATTTTCGAAAATGAGTTAAAGCTAACAAAAATTGTTCGTTCACGGAGTGTTGCAAAAAATGGTGGCCACGTTTTCTCCAAAACCGGCCATGTTACGACTATTCCTCTTGAGGGACAAAGAACAGTTAATGCAGAATGGTATGCTAGCATTTGTTTGTCACAGGTCGTTTCTGAACTCCGTAAAGAGAACTGCAACCGCCGCATCATCCTCCATCACGACAATGCGAGTTCTCACACCGCACACAGAACAAAAGAGTTTTTAGAGCAAGAAAACATAGAATTATTAGACCATCCGCTGTACAGCCCCAACCTAAGCCCTAATAATTTCTATACTTTCCCTAAAATAAAGAATAAATTGCGTGGACAGAGATTTTCATCACCTGAAGAAGCTGTGGACGCCTACAAAACGGCCATTTTGGAGACCCTAACTTCCGAATGGAATGGTTGCTTCAATGATTGGTTCCATCGTATGGAAAAATGTGTCAAATTTCGCGGAGAATACTTCGAAAAGTAATAAATACATTTTTAAATAGTAATGTTGTGTCACTTCCTTGATTCCCGAAATTTTCAGTGCCGCCCTCGTATTGTTACGAGCTTAGGGTTCGTGACAATAAAAACTGACGATTGAATTACCAAAATTAACACTTTAATTCACTTTACATTAATTAAAACTTAAAAGCACACATTTTTCACCGCAACGACCAGAATATTCAAGTAAATACACGCGCCAACCGACCAGGCGCAGAAAGTTCGAGTGTGGGGCTTCCAGAAAGCTTAATTCTTCTGTTCGAGATGGCGCTGTTGGTCGAAAGTCAAGATTGACATTTTCTAGGAAACCCTCCTCACTCTGGTCCCCGACACTAGATGGCGCTAGTGCCGGGTACATGACGTCAACTCAGGCGCGCAACAATATGTTAAATTATATTGATCTTCATGTCGTTGAGGTTTTTATTTTTCGTGTACTTAGGTTATTACTATCTTCCTATCTATTTCTATCTTCCTATCTATTTCTATCTCTTCCCGCGGGGCATTTGCCAATATTTAACTACTGTGAAAGTAGGGTTATATTGCTGCGACATTAATAAACCTCTTTTTTATTCAAAATTAAAACAGAAATATTCTACTAATAATTTTGATAAATTCGTAAAAATCTGAAAAAATCTGTATAAAATCTGATAACCAGAATGGAAGGTAAGGGGGCGGAATTATAAATTAAAATTTAAAAGTGATTAGATTTTTAAAAATATTTGCCTTTTTTATATATACATACACTTTTTTATATATGCATACACGTTTAAAACGTATTCGACCCTTATTTTAAAGTTTGTAACTGGACAAATTTTTATCCAATACATTTGGTATTAAATTAAATAAAATAAGGTTTAGCAAAAATCAAATTTAAACTTACACCGATTTGACAATATCGGGATTGAAATCTGATCTTTTTCGCAGACCCATGTTAGCGATTTCTGTTGATGCACCTAGTTCTAAAAATGAATTACATTATGGATTAAAAAGTATATTCAATAATATATATTATATTTTTAAAATGGAGAAAGAAACTTCTTCAGCTTACCTGCGATTCTCATATCGCTGAAATAGTTATGTTTCTGAAATATAATAAAAGATATTGGATTAAAATTCTTCGTAGAGGGGGGCGAGACAAGATACTAGGTGGTAACATTCGTTTACTGCTAAGGAGTCCATCAGGGTAGGTATCACCCACTTGTCTATTTTTCGATTTAAACACCGGGCCGTGCACTGCTGCGTTCCGATCAGAACGGTATGGAGAGCTTCTAATTACAGGCTGTGAAGGGTACCATCTTAATTTTCAGATGTGACAACGCGTCTATACCCTTCCTTATTGAAAGTAAGTTGGAGGTGTCCATGCACTGCAGTAGCCACTTACCATGAGTACCATGAGGTGGACTGTGAGCTCGTTTATTAGTTCGGTTTTATAAAAATAAGATTGAGTTGTGTAGCATAAATATGAAGGTCAGTAATTAATTGTTAACGGGAACTTACGGAAGAGAAGTAAATGGATCTTCGGTTTTCGTCATTCACCAAACAAAAAGAGGCTGCTATTTTATACTTCTATTCTCCAAAACTATTAGTATATACCAACGTATTTGCTATTATAGCCACGCTTGATAGGCGAGTGGGTGATCGCTGTACCTGATGTAACTTTGACTTTGCTCTCTTTCGTTGGTCTAGGTATAATAGGAGATTCTACCCTAGTTTGCAAAAACCACTTTTGAGTGTTGACTCCGGTATTCGAAGGTTTTTTGACACACCCATCAAATTAATACAACCCTAAAGTGAATTATTAAAGGGCAATTCTTGGAAAATCTGTATATGATGACAGTTTCTACATTCTAGCAAAACCTAGTCTAACAAAGTCATAAATGCAAATGTGAATTTATGCAAAATACGTACTGATTTTTTAGCGCATTTAGACTGTGACCTTGGAGATAATGCGAGCTCCTGACTACTGCAAGGTACAAATGATTATTATCTAACAACAATCTTTAAAATAATATATAATAGCGAGGCCATATTCACATTGCATTAGATATGTACATCGTTGTTTATGTACATTTAGTAACACTTACTTATTATAAGAGGTTGGTTTTGGACGTTTGATCCTTTTGAATATTTCCTGTGTGACTTCTGTAGACATTCCCGTTTCTAAAATATGTATAATAAGTAAAAATTAAAGTTGTCTATCTGATTAGACAAATTACCATTGTTTAAAAAAAATTGTTTACCTGCACTGCATTTCCTAAGCTCATAATTCTGAAACAAGACAATGATCATACATAAACAAGGACATGCATGCGCACGCACGCATGCACGCACACATGCATTTACATACGCACATACGCACGGTTGCATGCATACAGGAAGGCTCGTGCATACGCACGCCTTTCATCATTGTTTTTATTGTTTTTGTTAACAATAAAAATAGTATTATACGAGTATAAACATTGCCTATATTTGTTGTACTATGTGAATATACTGATTCCTTCAGTGTAGCGCATGTGCGGCCCAGGACATCTAAGGCATCACAGAACTGTTATTGCTCAATCTCGCGCGGCTCGAAGCCTCCGGTCCCTCTAAGAAGAATTTTAATATGTCGCCATTGAGTTGCGCGACCGAAGCCACGCACATCGAAATGATGACGCCTATTTAGTAGGCTAGATTCTCGTTCGTTACCGAAATTAACCAGATAAATCGCTCCACCAACTAACTAACGGCCATGCACCACCATCAAGAAAGAGCTGGTAATCAGTCAATCCTATTATTAATTATAGAAAAAAAATGTGCTGGCAATGAAAAGTTTAATAACGGAAAACAGAGTACATATGAGGAGATTCTCAACATATTGCAGATTAGATCACAAAGCTTGTATAAGATTCTAATGCGGATGAATTTAGGCTTACATCCACGGATACGGATGAAGATCTCAAAATATAGTTAGTTTAAAACTTGTATGTTTGGAAATCAAATGTATTTTTAGGAGAGCGTTCGCCGTTAGAAACCTAATACCTTCATGTTTTGAATTATCATACTGAGGCTTACCTCCTTATGTTTTCTTTTTCTGTGTTCGTCGCCATGACTAGACAGCTCGAGCGGCCTGGTAAGAATTAGGTACATATAGAAGTTTAAATTTTCTATCGTAACATCAAGCCTTGATATTTTAGTAAAAAACAATTTTCTTAATAAATTTACAGAATTATAGTTTTATAAAAATTAATAAAGAAGTGGAGATAAAAGTAGTGTGGAAGTATTCCTTTTAAAATATAATACCCGAACAAAAGGATCGGCCACCATGGGCACCAGTAAAACTTGCATATATATATTGCTGTAAAACTTATATATATATATTTTTATTTTCTGGGTTATGTGAAGTACACCACGATGCTTGGGACAGCTCGCAATAGTTTTCGCAACTCTAAAACCCGCCAAGAAATGAGTGGCTAGAGGAAAGCAGTGGAACGTATTCGGGCTGTTATGCTTTTCGTTAAAGATAGGTTTTGCTTCCCCAGATTTTCTGAATCCTCTGGTGGATGATATTTAATTTGTATATACTCATAGCGATGTACAAACATTCGCAAGGTGTTTCCCGTTTCTGACTAAATCTGAACTGAAACTGTTTACCTCTATCAGATATTGAGTTAAGCAATTACTAAAAGGTTTTTTATTTACATTTTAACAATTGTTTTATCTCTTTTACAAACTCTGCAACTGTACTCTTACAAAGTAACATTGTTTATTTTTTAAGAGATTCCCTATAGTCCCGACAGACCCTTACCTTTCATTTCTTTTTAAAATATGAACTGATGATGCGATGCTAGAGATTGATGTAATCATTTTCGCCAGTTCAATGACGTCGAGTTCTTGGTTCGTGTCGAATGTTAGATCACACAGCTTGTTTTTGCTTCTATATTTTTGTTTCGATGATTTGTTTTGATTAGGTCTGTGAGAGGGTGAAACAGCATGGAAAATTCTGTCTGAACAACTTGAGCAGAAAATGATGCCTTCAAACACTTCTGAATCTTGTAAGTTTGTCTCACTGCATAAATCTGTAATACAAATTAAAGTTACTGGTATTAAGTATCGCTAGAAGCAATAGTACATTTGTAAGTAACGAAGCAAAAGTAAGTCAGTCTGAAAGAAGAGAAAGAAAAAAGAAATTTTATTTATTGCTTAGGTGTGCAAATTACTTTATGCTATGAGTAGAAAAAAATAGGTGTTAGATGAATCATAACGATTTTCTTACATTATCAAAATAAATTATAACAAGAAAAGAAAATCTGATTTCCATAACCGAGCAGAAAGGCAAGCCTGAAATATCGATTTATTAAAAAGTCTTTTTTAGGCCAGTTTGTGGAGAGCTGTTGATGAGTTGCATCATCCGGTGTGTTATATCGATGTTTCCGGAAGATTTATTCTTGAAGTGTGGAATTGTAAAATTTCATAACGCTAGGAGGATGCTGACTATATAAACTCTCTTCAACCTTAGAGCCCTTTATATCAATGCTAAGCATGTAAAATAACGCCGTCGCCGTCGCTTACCGTGACAGCGTCACGGCAAGTGTCCCCAGTATCACCTCAAAAGCATTGTAACCCAACTCAAAAACAAACAAACATTAATTTCATATATGAAGTATATAATTGCCTGTAGTTTTTTTTGCCTCGATAGCAGCGCAATATGCGACATGTATTTAAAATTCTAGTGTTTCATCATTCGATTCTCTTTAAAAAAAATATTAAAATTATAATAATAGTGTTACTCATAAAATCATAGCTAATTTAAGAAATGTTTAAATGTAATCTCTTTTCCGTTAGAAAATGACAATAGAAAGAGACAGTAATCACTTACACACACTATCAGTACCTTAGAGTATACATATAATGTATAAGTACATTAACAAGCTATTCGCTTCTGTATTCTATAAGATCACTACAGCCTATCACAAGTACGCTCCTAAGCGTAGGTCTCCCTTTGATTATATAACATGTCTCAGAGGTCTTGCCCATCCATCGTGACCACCTGCGTGTTTCATCAGGTCGTCACTCCATCTAGTGGGGTGTCGTCCAATACTGCGCTTGTGAGGATGAGGCTGCCACTTGAAAGCTGCTTATCCATAGGCTGTCGGTATTTCGAGTTATGTGGCCGACTCATAACCACTTGAGCTTACTGATCCGTCTTGAAATGAACGACAGGTATACATATAAGTAATACAATTGATAATAAATGATTTTTTTAAAGAATAAGTTTGACAGCCAAACACAGTCCACCTGATGGAAAATCAACGATGTGGCCCATTAAAATCTACATCCATTCTTAATTAAGAATTAAAATGCAGCGTTGTCACCCCTGAGGACTAAGATGGAATGCCTCGTTTCCAGTAAAAAGTAGCTGCGGTTCTCGACACTCCCCATGTGTAACATTATGCTGCTTTTTTATACGGGTATTTTGTGCGAGCGTGGTCTTTCCTGGTCGAGTCAACCCATTCGTGCTACAATTATAATCCTAGTATAGCTATAATACTCGTATGCTTCCCGTGTAGTGGCGGTTAAGAATATCCACTACCCCATATCTTCCCGTGGATGTCGTAAAAGGCGACAGAGGGAAAGAGGCGGGAGACGGGTAGCAGCATCTTCCTGATAACAGCAACTGTACAACAAAAAACTGCGATTGCCGATCGCCAAGCGTGGCAACTATGGCAATATGCGGTATATTTATTTACACTGACACAAATAGACGCCTCTCAGTCCCCGACGGCTTCGCTATTACTGGCTACGGTGGCGACCATGGTAACGGCGGGGCAAGGGGTGCTAAGAATCTCCAGTGGAGGTTCGGTTGCCACCTAAAACGACTCGACCCGGCAACATACAACGCTCGCATCCTGAAGACTGCCGAGAAGATCATGGAGCAGGAAGAAGAGATAGAAAAGTTGCGCTGGAATATTATAGGATTATCCGAGGACCAAAGAGAGGGGGAGGACGCGGTGATCCTTGAATCCGGCAACGGCAACTTGTTGTATCACCGGGAGGGCAACCATCTGTTCCAAGGAGGTGTTGGATTTATCGTCCACAAGTCTCTCGTTAATAACGTTGTAAAAATTGGGAATTTGTTGCCGAGGTTTGCGTATTTTATACTTAGAATCACTAAACGGTGTTCGTTGAATGTAATACAGGTTTACGCACTAACATCGGCAGATCTCGATGAAGAGGTGAAAGAAATGCATGACGATATTTCTAGAGCCATGCATTCCTCCAAAACCCACTATACGGTGTTAATGTCAGGCTTTAAGGCAAAGCTAGGCACAAGAAAGAACGGTGAGCTGAAGGTAGGGAATTTTGGGATAGGGCAACGGAACCTAAGGGACCAGCAGCTGGCCGAATTTGTGAAGAAAGAGGGACTCTTTATGATGAACTCTTTCTTCCAGAAGCTGCCCCACAGAAAGTTGGCTTGGTCGAGCCCCGACGGTTCGACAAAAAATGAGATGACTTCATTATGACGACTAGACGACAACTGTTCAGTGATGTCTCGGAGATCGCAAGGGTGAAAACTGGCAGAGATCACCGAAACGTTAGAGGCACACTAAACCTAAAACGTTAAGTTAGAGAGATCTCGTCTTATGAAGTCAACGTTCCATCCCCCTCGTGCTCTAATCAAAAGTCCCGAAACCTTTCAGCTCGAGTTAAAAAATCATTTAGATATGAATGACAAGCCCGTGTCAACTGTCAATGCAGTCGGAGCTAAGTTCTGCAAGACCCGTCGCAGAAGAAAACCCAAACTCTCCGATTCCGATCGGGCTACGATGGCTATCCGAGTACAGAACCAGAGAACGAAACCTATCCAACTGCAGAGAGGTGTAAGACAGGGTGGCGTTATATCCTCGAGACTCTTCACCGCTGCGTTGGAAGACGTTTTCAAGCTACTGGACTGGAAAGGATACGGTTTTAACATCAATGGCGAGTACATCATTCACCTTCGATTTGGCGACGATATAGTCCTTATTGCAGGATCGCTGGAGGACCTAAGCACTATGGTCAATGACTTCAATAGTGTCTCCCAACGGTTATGCCTTTAGTTAAACATGGACAAAACAAAGATTATGTTTAATGTCCATGTCACACCTTTGCCGGTAGTTGTTGGAAGCACTCAACTCGAAGTTGTATTCCGGGTTACTTCCAACTTCGACCGAGAGGTTAATCGATGGATTCAACTCAGCTGGGTAGCGTTCGGAAAATTACGACACATTTTCTCGTTAGGTAT